ATGCATCCACTCTTTTTAATGGCACAAGTTCATATTTAAAGTGCATGTTATCTTTTTTTTAGGTTATGTACTGTACAGGATGAGGTCAGAGTAAAAGGAACTTTTATTAAAAAAGCATGAAGTACATTGGTGTCAAACGATGAGCAAGTTGTTTGGTAATTTGACTTATCTCTTGTGACTTGTAAGATAAGATTACAGTTTATAGACATGTATTAGCAAAATATGTCAGCACTTCAACTGCAATTCTTGATGTGGTCACTATCACAGTTAGCCTTCCTGTTATTCAAGCCAGTGTAACAGGTCTTGACACGCTCCATGTCTTTTAGAGGCCCAGGAAGACTGATTAGTGATATGAGTTTGCAATTCAACCCACATACTGTAAACACCACTCCTATCACAGCAAAAGAGTCACTTTAGAGGATAAAAATAGTAGCTTTGATACCCACCTGAGCAACCAGATTAACCTCCGACCTTTGTCAACCCAAGACAAAGTGAACTGAGCCGAGCTATGGCAGCATGTCAGAGGAGACGTGTGCATCTTTTCTACAATGAGTTTTTCAATGCTTTTTTCCCCTTAAAATCACAATGTTAGGATGCAATATGTTGATACTGAAGAACTATATACAATTTGCAAATCCAGTTGCTTGAATGTTGTATTCACTTTCATATAGTGTAATATAACAGTAATTAACATTTTTAATGAGAAAAATATTCCTTTGGAATGCAACCAAAGCATTAAGATAAACAAGCAATAAGTAAAGAAACATCATTGCCTTTGGTATCCAGTCATTTGAAGCAAGTTGTACATGTTCAGTTTTTTTCAGGTTTTATAATTGTGGTCATGTTTCTCCTATGACATTCTATTTTGCATTGTGCGTTTCTGCATATAACGAATATCAAATGAAATGTATCAATTAAAACTGCAACAAGTTCACAAAAACATTGTATGGGTACAGTTTATTCATTAGGCTGATAAATACAAGTCATCAACAGGAGGGGCTGAATGTGACAGGTTTGTAGCACAGTTGTGTAACTGGAATGAATGCTTTGCACCAGGTGGATTCTGTCGTAATCTTTTCACATAGTCTGGACTAGTATATTCCTACTTTGCTGGTCTCTGAGACTTAGATGGCATGTCATCTCACGAGCTCAGTGGGACTCATGTCTGGAGAGTAGGGCATCCACAGAATGACTGTGACATTCTCATCATTCTCAGACTTAGTCTAGCCCCCAACATACTGATAGCATGAAGGTGTTATTCTCTTGAGAAGTGGGGCACACAGGATTCATTTAGTGTTTTTCTTTCTTGATTTTCATTTTGTTTGACTTACCATGGTCATCTTAACACATAGTCCCGATTAACTTTTTTCCCCAATGAGGAGATCCTTAAATCAAATTGATACCAAAATTATACAAAGAATAGCCACGAATACATAAACACACAAATACAGTGAGTTGTTATTTTTCTAAAAACATACACAAATGGAGTGAGATGTTTCTATGCTTAGAATATGTTCAGCACAATGTTTTTAAAAAATAATTTCATTACATTGGGGATAGGAGGAATGTAATGTGCCTTGTTACTTCACACTAAGTTTATAAAAATATCCAGGCAATTAAGTTGTATAAATGCAAAATAGTGAATATTGCAGAAACCAAGCCATTTTCAACCCTTTGTCGTTCTATTTAAAGCTCTAAATATTTGAACAAACCAGAGAAGTGTCCCGTGCTTTCACCGTGCAGAAAAAACAAACACAAGTAAACAATGAAGACATTTTGCATTTTAGTACAGAACAATAACTAGATTAAGTTACAGCTGACATTCTGTAACATTTGTAAAGATGTATAGACTAAAATGCTGAGCTGGTAAATCTGATTTAATCCCTAGTTGAAGCTGGTATATATAGTGAGTGGGACAGGTTCTGTTTTGCCATATGTCAACTTTCTTTTATTTCTTCATGTTTATTAGGTATCAGCTGTATTCATGTTGATTGGCGCTTTTTAAAGGTGTTAAAGAAAAGAGGTGCTTAAAGAAAACACTTAAGTGCTGCAAGTATCGGTGAGATGTAAGTTTCTTTTCCTACTGAAAAGATAGTTTTGTAAAAGTTTTCTTTGTTTTGTTCAAATATAGGGTATAAAAAGTCTAAAACTGATATAATTGTCGCTAATTATTATAGCTTGACTAAGCCAGCATTTTCCTACACCTGTGCACCTAATTCATTTTAGTGCAGAAGACTGGAGAAATAGCACAGAAATGCTGAACAGTCCCCTCACTGGAGATTGAATCCATATGTGGTCATCTTGAATGGTTTATTTAGGAACGTGAAGGTGAATAAAAGGGATTTCTGTTGTGCCTTGCAATGTGCTGCACTTCCCTCTGGTTTCCCAAACCAGAAATCATCCCTTTTTGAACTGTTTGCCTGCGGTAGAGCTGGATACATTTAATGTTCGTCGCAGCTTGGTGCCTACATTTTTCACAGTAAGAAAGAGCAATAAAACTGTTGGCTTTTACCCATTTGGGAATGATTCATATCTTCTGATATTTGGCTGTTGTGACTGATTGGCTCAACAGCTCTGGCAATGTCCACCTAGAAGATTTCTATATTTAACTAGTTGCTTTGAAGACATGATTAGACTTTCCTGTGTAAACATTTTTTACGTGTATTTACAGGCAGAATCTCATTTCACTTAGTGAGTAGTAATAGGAGTGTTCAGGTCATTAGAAATGTGTCCTAGGACTTTGTAAGCCATTCTTGATCATTTAGTCTAACCAGAAGCTTGTTAATCATGAATATCTAATTAACGGGCTAAAATGTACCTTGATGTAGATAATGCATGTGACAGATGTCACCCCACTGGTACTCTAGTTATTTGATAGCCATTATTAGATAGATAGCCATTATTTAGATAATGATAGTCCTTTGATTCTACAGCTCTTGTTGTGGTGTTTGGTACCTGAGTTGGTGCCCCTTTCCAGTCAAACACTCTGACCTTTGCATCATTACTGGCCTGTGAAGTTGAAATTTTGTTCCCCTGGTGGCATATAGCCGTGCCCTCTCATGATAACTGGGTCAGAAATATACTGTATTTGCTCATAATAGAGAAGCTCTTATACACTGTATCCCATACAGTATTCACATGAGACATGTAATATTGCATAGCTGGACTTCCTCTCTTTTTTTGAGAGCTTGTCTCATACACCTTTGTAACATCTATCTCCAGGCTGCATCATTTCCATTGCCCAAGGCTCCCTTCCTTGTTTCTTTTATTTGGTTTCTCTTGGTCTTTCGTCTTTTGTGTTTCTAACCTCGTTAAAAACACTAAAGGAATCACACATATGCCACTGGGCATGAACAAGCATCGTAACATGAAAACCTGTCTGTATGTGCAGTACTCTTCTGAATGCCCCAGATTGTTTTGAATGTTTTAAGAAGAGCATCTGAGTCTCCTCACAGCTGGTTTCTTTCAATATACTAAGGAGTATGCGTAGATCAAAGACCCTTTCATTGCAATGATAGTAATTGCCACAGATCACTGCAATTGTATTGGAAAGTTCTTTTAACCAGCTTGTGCCTAGTTATTCTGGAACTATTCCGGAACAATAATCATCGTTTTTAATTAGAAACAATCAGAAAAGATTTTTAAATGTATGGAAGTATATAAATAGCAGGAACTCAAACTAAAACATTCTATAATTAAATATGATTATTTAAAGCCAGTTGGCATCGTTGATGTGCTAAGGTTTACAGCAGTGTGGTGTGAAAAATCTTGTGTTTTCATCTGGCATTTTTCCTTTTTTCTTTCCTGGAGATTTAGGAATGTTTTGTTTAATTCGTGCTGGCATTTTTGTCAGAGCCAGGCTGGCTTTTGTAGAGGCTCGATGTTGTCCAGGGTTCAAGTATTGGTTGCACTTGATGGCGACCTTCACACAGAGTCATATTTTGGTGTAGAGACATACTTTTCTCCCTTCAGAAGCAGTTGTGTTTGTCAGCTATGACAAGATTTCATCATATGACAACATGGCTTTCCTAATCTATGGACACACATTTTTTTAAGTGTACTTGCTAACTGAAACGTTTCCCAACCTTTGCTCTGTCTTAGTGTAGTTTAAAAAAAAACCAACAGCTCTGGTTATTTGGTATCTAGATAATGGTAGTCCTTTACATTCTTAAAGCATTTGCTTGCTTGCCTTACTGTGTGCCCTCAAACTGTGAGATATGTAGCCTGAATAGAATATTCTAATGGCGCAGTGGTTAGCATTCCTAACTCGCAGTGCTGGAGCCCTGGGTTCAATTCCCAAGGTGCTTTCTGCGTGGAGTTTGTACGTTCTCCCCATGTTCCTGTGGGTTTCCTCTGGGTGCTCCGGTGTCCTGCCCCAGTCCAAAGACATGCTGATGGGTTAATTGGTGTCTGGGGAAATGTGTGTGTCTGTGTGTGCCCTACTGGCATTCCATCCAGGGTGTTCCCATCCTTGCATCTGTTGCCTGATAGGCTCCAGCTTCTCCACAACCTTATATTGGATAAAGTGGTTAGAAAATGGATGAGTGGATGGACTGATTGTATCTTCCTTACAGTACAGGAATAAGTAAAGGTTTATTCTACAAAGGAACAAGTAATAGGTTTATTCCATGCTGAAAAAAAGAAGAAAGAGAACACAACGTTTCGGCCGTGGAGCCTTCTTCAGGTGTGGATTCTTCAGGATTCTTCACACCTGAAGAAGGCTCCACGGCCGAAACGTTGTGTTCTCTTTCTTCTTTTTTTCAGCATGGAATAAACCTATTACTTGTTCCTTTGCAGCCTACGCATGCTGACGCAGCTACCCACCTGAAGGTTTATTCTATGCTGAAAGGAGAAGAAAAGAAACAACGTTTCAACTGTGTGGGGCCTTCTTGTAAAAAACCTTTACCTGTTCCTGCATGCTGACACAGCCTCCTACGTGAAATCCCTCCTTACAGTACTATGAATGAAGAACACGCGTGTCATGTCTTTTCTTCCGGCAGGTAGCGTGTCTTACCCATATAGCAGCTAACTATCTGAACGGAGGGAAGGAGGCCCGCAGATGGGGCACGGCTCATGAAAGCATCGTTCCTTATCAGGTACTAACGGCGCCGCACGTACAGTATAGAAAAACATTTTGAACATTTTTTTGCTAAGAGTAATAAAATAAAACATCATCAACACTATCAAAAAAATATAAATGACCAAAATCCACAATTTAACACATTTTAATTAAGTTAAGGCACAGTGTCCTCCCATGTCATTGCTGTTTGTGCTGTGAAAACAAAAATAGGGGTGTACTTGTTCACATAGTTTTTCAACGCAGAAATTCCAAGAATGCAAATGAACGTGACCCAATGGGATCTAAGGATGCAGTGTTTTAAACAAAAAATATTAAGATTTGAAGGATATTTAAGTATGGGCATTGAATCATCTTTTTGTTGATAAGGTCCCATTTTTAAGCATCCAAAATGATAAATTTAGTGTAATTGTTGCTATAAACTGGTTATGTGTATGTGGATCCTATTGTGGACTTTGAAAATGAGTAAAAGTCACATCTAGCTGTATAAAGCCCTTTTAGTAATACAGTAATGCAATTTGGTATTCACATAAAGTAAGCCTTGAACCATGAAGGAAAAAGGCTTATAACAACCTTGTGAACAATTTATTTTAATCATAGCTTGTGAGAAACCACAAAATAACAGAGAACCTTTCTCTCCCTTTTTTGGAGGAAGTCCCAAGTCCAACTCCCTAATGATACACCATAATAAAACTGTTAATTGTGCAATGGGTCGCAAGGACTTTGGTATTTAACATGGTAACTTGCCAAATTAAACAGTGTAAATCTTGTCTTGTCATTTGCATTACTCTAGAAATCACAAATACATGTTGTTGAATAAAATAGTAGGAATAGTGTGCAGCACAACTGTAAAAGCAGACCAAAATCAGTCTAAAGGAACACATAGTAAAGAGCAATAATTTTATTGTTATATTTTAGATTCTATTTTATTTGACTGATTTAAATGTGAAAGAATTAATCTCCAGACCCTTGTTTTTTTTTAAAGTATAGTATTGTTAATTCATATCTGGTCAAGAAATTGCAGTCCTTTAGTCATTTGTGAAGAGTTACACAAATTTGTATGAATGCTAAAATCTACATATTTGCTTAAGTGTACGGATATGTCCAATGAGCACTATTTACAAGAGACATCTGTAACTGTACTTGTAGTATATTTGGGATCATTATAAAGGAATTAACATAACCATTACTCAGGCTCCTGTTCTGTGGAATTGTAGTAGCGGCTTGGTTTTTCTTTGGTTAGTATGTCTCCTAGGTTAATGTGTTTTCCAGTCCCAAAAGCAGAGTCCACTTCCTGTGTTTCACAGATGCAGACATTCTGCATTGTAAAAGCTTGAACTCATCTGACGTTAATACTCATGTCTACTGTTCTAATGTCCAGTTTGCAGGAATTCCTTTTTTATTTATTGCTAAAATAAGTTATAATAACTATATGGGACAGAGTCACTTACAATTTTTAATAAAAAAGTAAGGGAAATAATTTACTTCATAAAAATGTAGTCTAGATGTGATTCACTTATATTGTTTTTAATCTAAAGGTTAATGTTTGAATGTTTCCTATGCAAATTGTTATCATAGCATGTTAAGTGCAAAACAATAAGCCTGGAATAACATAAAGTCATAGTTAAAGTATTGTGAGAATTACAGTCTCCTTAAAAATGTGCTAAAACTGGCTAATGATTAAAGATAAAAGCTTTTGAGGAGTTTAAGGAGTCATTAAAAGCTTAAAGAGTTATTTCTTAAATCATACTCATAAATATCAATGTGCATATCAGTAATGGTTCTTTTTGTTAAGCAGAGTTTAATTTTTTTTCTAGTAGTGAGTCTGAGAAGAAACAAAAAGAAATAAGCTTTGTTTCAGTTGCAACTCATTTAAATGGACAATTTGAGGAATTATGCTACTGATGTAGAGGACAAGGTGTCAGGGCTGAATGACCAGGCAGCAGAGATATTTACATTTATTCTTGAAAATATTGAAAAAGCAGTCATAAAGCACATCATTGAAAGAATAGGTGCCTCTTCTGGAGGGTAACAGCTATTTCTCAGTAATTTGAGATTTTGAAGATATAGCATGTAATGCACTAGCACAAGTAAAGGTTTATTCCATGCTGAAAAGAGAAGAAACTGAACCATGTTTCAGCTGTGGAGCCTTTTTGGGGTGTGACGCAGCTGCCTACTTGATGTAGCCTTCTTGCTGTATTTGAGACGTTGAAAGTCCCCTTTTTTTCCCTGTATTCTTGTGCACCATATATCCTTTCACAAATCGAATGATCAAAAGCTTAGGAAGTCCTGGATTTTCACCAGTTTTCCTAGCCTTGTCAGTGCCTCCATTCACTTTCTCAAGGATTTTAGGTGACTTAAGGACAGTAGTACAGTACGGATGTGCATAACAGGGGTTTTGTATTTCATTTGCACAGAAGATTTATCATTGAAATTCTCCTTGCAGAGTTAAATCCAGTGGCAGCCTGCTAATTGCTACATTATTTTAGAAAGCAGAAGTAATTATGACTAAATAAGTGCTTCTGAGGTTCCCAGTGTTTGTCTTGAAAAATAATGAGTGAGCATCTGTGTCAGGAGATCACAGAATGATATCTCACTGCCTTGCATGTGTCTTCTATCTTGACTGCTGAATAAGATAGAAAATAATTTTAGTAATCATGTAGTCTTTTATGGGTTTTCTTTGCAAAAAATAAAATGCTTTTGACAAACTTATTACTTTGAAATCTTTAACATGGTCAGGGTCAAAATGAAACTAGTGTAATTATCATTTTATTTCTTTTATTATTATCTTTGTAATTTGTTTTGCTTTCTAGTGCTGTTTCAATATTTGTCGTTACTCTTGTAAACTTTAAATGGTACCTACTGACCTGATTATAATACACAAATATATGCGCAATTAGCAAGGATAAAGCCACTTTGTATTATTAAGCCTATATATTGTAGATTTTTCAGGCATCTATAGGAAAACGGTACTTTGATGAAACATCTTTAGGCAACCAGCAATTGTAAGATATTAGCAATAAAGACTCTAGTCTCTTATAACCTATTATATTTACAAAATGTGTGTTTCAAATTGGGCAGCACAGTGGAGCAGTGGTTAGCATTGTTACCTGGGATCTGGGTTCTATTCCCAGAGTGCTATCTGTTTGGAGTTTGTATGTTCTCAATGTGTTCCTGTGAGTTTCTGTAATGTGATAGGGTGTTTTACATATGGATTGGCCTGTGTTTATAAGTGGATTTCTGTATTCTTGGCAAGTGATAAAATGTGTTGTCAATGACCTCTGAAGTGCCGCAGGTCTGAAGGAAATCAAAGCACTCCTCTTCCATCTGGATATTGATGTTTGGAGAATTATGTGTTCAGTTTCATTATAATTTTTTATTTTAAAAACCAGTTGAAAGGATATATGAAAATAATTATTAAACTAATAATTCAAATACATATGGAAAACATGTGGTAGACAAATTAAAACGTGCTCTCTCAAAAAGAAAAGGAAACAAATGTATGTCAACTTTAGGTAGCTGAATTATTAATAGGGCTCTTCATAAGAATGCTGGCACATAAGGTCCCTAGATTTGTACCTTTTTGCTCTTCATTTCTTAAATGAAATAATTCCTTGGTGAGTTCACTGACAGTGTTGTTTTTCAATGTCCCTAAAAATTTAAGAGTTTATTTTAGATCATCTCCTGGACTTGACTTATCCAACATATTGAACCGATTGCGTTTAATCTTGATTGGCTAAATCGCTTCGGAGTTTAAATTCTGAGCAGGTAATCCTGTTTGCACTTCACAATAGAAGAATCTAGAGCAATATCTTCATTATTAGGTTGAAAGGACATTACATCAACATCAAGGCACAGAAACTTTCACTAGCGCTGGACCGAGACAAACAGTTGCAAGGAACATTGCAGTCACATGTATTGGCACCATGTGTGGGAATGCAATTGATTCACCTAGAATTTTGTTGCTACTTGTTAGGATGAATCTGTGTATTCAATTATTTCTGATAAGCACCCATTATTCACCCACAACTGTGAATATTACATAGTTATTTATTAAATAAAATTAATACATACTATTCTTTCAAATAAAGATTAGACTGTGATCACTGTTAACACTGATCATACTGAAATATGATCAATATTATGTTAATTGGGCCAAGCCCCCTCTACAAATGTGCACATTCTTAAATTCTACACACTGTTACTTCTAATCACTCTTATGATCCATTTCCTGTTTTATATATGTATATAATTTTTTTAGCAATTTTTTTTTTCATTGTAATGTGTTGTATGTTGCACTGCTTGCTGCTTAAAATGCTCCCCTGGAGATGAAAAAAGTGTCTTGACTTGAAATATTCCTACTGAAAAACCAAGATAAGCTACCTCTGAGAGTGAAAGCTCTCAGATCATTTATTTTTGGTCCACCAAAGACCTTCTTATGATCAGTCAAAGTGTTTTTTAAGCCTTTGCAGTGTTAAACTTTAACGTAAAGCCCATAAAATAGCATGTTCCTTAATCATGATGGGAATAGATAAAGAGAATTAACATTGTTACAAAAATGTGCCATAAATACTAATGCAACATTACTAATACTTGTTGGTAAATCCTTTAGCATTCAAATGCAAGTTGTGGTGATTGAGATACAAGTTTTAACATTTTAGGGACAGCTGAACAGAACAGAAAAGCCAGTATTACTTGAAACGTTTTGTCCCACTATGCATATACAGTAGGAGTCTTGAAAACAATTCACAATCATCACAGCACAAAAAAAGCAGATACAGTAATTGCCCTAGTGTGCATTGATAAAAAAATAAATAAATACAATGCTGAAAGCTAAGGAAACTGCATAGTTTCCTTCAGGGCCTGTATATATTGTATTAACAACACAGACTCCTTTTTATGACCCAGGATCAGATCTGGAGGCTCAGAAATCTCAGTTCCAAGTTCTTTTGCAGGGGCAGAATGCAGAAAATCCACATGTCGTTCTTAAACATGTCCTTGTTGTTGGAGCAGTTTAGA